TACAAACAATGCATATATACAGTGCAGGTGTACAAACAATGCATATATACAGTGCAGGTGTACAAATAATGTATATATACAGTGCAGGTGTACAAACAATGTATATATATAGTGCAGGTGGAAAACAATGTATATATACAGTGCAGGTGTACAAACAATGTATATATACAGTGCAGGAGTACAAACAATGTATATATACAGTGCAGGTGAACAAACAATGTATATATACAGTGCAGGAGTACAAACAATGTATATATACAGTTCCAGAAATCAAACAATGTATACAGTGCAGTGTAAAACAATGTATATACAGTGCAGGAGTACAAACAATGTATATATACAGTGCGGGTATCAAACAATGTATATATATACAGTGCAGGTGGAAAACAATGTATATATACAGTGCAGGAGTACAAACAATGTAAATATACAGTGCAGGTGTACAAACAATGTATATATACAGTGCAGGAGTACAAACAATGTATATATACAGTGCAGGTGTACAAACAATGTATATACAGTGCAGATACAAACAATGTATATATACAGTGCAGGTGTACAAACAATGTATATATACAGTGCAGGAGTACAAACAATATATATACAGTGCAGGTGTACAAACAATGTATATATACAGTGCAGGAGTACAAACAATGTATATATACAGTGCAGGGGTACAAACAATGTATATATACAGTGCAGATGTACAAACAATGTATATATACAGTGCAGGTACAAACAATGTATATATACAGTGCAGAGGTACAAACAATGTATATATACAGTGCAGGTGTACAAACAATGTATATATACAGTGCAGTGTACAATGTTTATAGACAGTGCAGGTGTACATTGTATATAGAGAGTGCAGGTGTACATTGTATATAGACAGTGCAGGTGTACATTGTATATAGACAGTGCAGGTGTACATACAATGTATATTGACAGTGCAGGTTCAATGTATATAGACAGTGCAGGTGTACATTGTATATATACAGTGCAGGTAGTGCAAACAATGTATATAGACAGTGCAGGTTACAATGTATATAGACAGTGCAGGTTACAATGTATATAGACAGTGCAGGTGTACATTGTATATATACAGTGCAGGTGTACAAACAATGTATATATACAGTGCAGGTGTACAAACAATGTACATATACAGTGCAGGAGTACAAACAATGTATATATACAGTGCAGGTGGAAAACAATGTATATATACAGTGCAGGTGTACAAACAATGTATATACAGTGCAGGTGTACAAACAATGTATATAGACAGTGTAGGTTACAATGTATATAGACAGTGCAGGTGTACATTGTATATATACAGTGCAGGTGTACAATGTATATAGACAGTGCAGATGTACAATGTATATAGACAGTGCAGGTGTACATTATATACAGTGCAGGTGTACAATGTATATAGACAGTGCAGATGTACAATGTATATAGACAGTGCAGGTGTACAATGTATATAGACAGTGCAGATTACAATGTATATAGACAGTGCAGATGTACAATGTATATAGACAGTGCAGATGTACAATGTATATAGACAGTGCAGGAGTACAAACAATGTATATATACAGTGCAGGTGTACAATGTATATAGACAGTGCAGGTGTACAATGTATATAAGACAGTGCAGATGTACAATGTATATAGACAGTGCAGGTGTACAATGTATATAGACAGTGCAGGGTACAAACAATGTATATATACAGTGCAGTTATACAATGTATATAGACAGTGCAGGTGTACAATGTATATATACAGTGCAGATGTACAATGTATATAGACGCTGCAGGTGTACAATGTATATAACAGTGCAGGTGTACAATGTATATAGACGGTGCAGAATGTATATAGAACAGTGCAGGTGTACAATGTATATAGACAGTGCGAAATGTTATATGTGATATTATATAGACAGTGCAGGTGTACAATGTATATAGACAGTGCAGATGTACGATGTATATAGACAGTGTGTGTAAACAAATGTATATAGACAGTGCAGAAGTATTACAAACAATGTATATATACAGTGCAGGTGTACAAATGTATATACAGTGGTGTACAAACAATGTATATAGACAGTGTAGGTTACAATTTATATAGACAGTGCAGGTGTACAATGTATATAGACAGTGCAGGTGTACACAAACAATGTATATATACAGTGCAGGTGTACAAACAATGTATATAGACAGTGTAGTTTCAATTCATATATAGACAGTGCAGGTGTACAATGTATATAGACAGTGCAGATGTACAATGTATATAGACAGTGCAGGTGTACAATGTATATAGACAGTGCAGGTGTACAATGTATATAGACAGTGCAGGTGTACAAACAATGTATATATACAGTGCGGATTACAAACAATGTATATATACAGTGCAGGTGTACAAACAATGTATATATACAGTGCAGGTGTGCAAACAATGTATATATACAGTGCATATTACAAACAATGTATATATACAGTGCAGGTGTGCAAACAATGTATATACAGTGCGGTGTACAAACAATGTATATATACAGTGCAGGTGTACAAACAATGTATATAGACAGTGTGAGTTACAATGTATATAGACAGTGCAGGTGTGCAATTTATATAGACAGTGCAGGTGTACAATGTATATAGACAGTGCAGATGTACAATGTATATAGACAGTGCAGGTGTACAATGTATATAGACAGTGCAGGTGTACAATGTATAGACAGTGCAGGTGTACAATGTATATAGACAGTGCAGTACAATGTTTATAGACAGTGCAGGTGTACAAATAATATATATAGACAATGCAGGTGTACAAACAATGTATATATACAGTGTAGGTGTACAAACAATGTATATATACAGTACAGGTGTACAAACAATGTATATATACAGTGCAGGTGTACAAACAATGTATATATACAGTGCAGGTGTACAAACATGTACAGGTATATATATACAGTGCAGGGGTACAAACAATGTATATATACAGTGCAGGTGTACAAACAATATATATATACAGTGCATTTGTACAAACAATGTATATATACAGTGCAGGTGTACAAACAATGGTAAACAGTAAGTCACCAAGGACAGTACAAGAGCGCCACGCCTCTAGGACATGGCCGTGTGTCCTGGTCAAGGGTTGCGGTAGTGACAAATGAGACAACAAGTATAGGAATGTAAGTGTACACAACCTCTCTATAGCTCAGCTTTCTCACACCAAAAATACCCGAGATGTGGTCCACTAAGCATGCAAGAAAACAAACAAGCAATAGGACCAACTATTAAGTACGGTAGGTTAGGTTAGGTTATTCGTGTGGCTGTAACGTACAAATCAGAGTTTTATCGCGGTTGTTTATATAATAGTGTAATTACCGTAGTTATTGAAACTCGGTAACAACAACATACTGTACTGATAGAGATTATCTCCTTTGCTGATTTTTAAAGTCTACTTACTAACATACACATATATAGTAATAGTTGCCCCTCGTGTAACAAGGATGGCCGGCCCAAGGGCCACCTAGGCGTGAATTTGTTTAAGGTGTAGAAGCTGTCGCCAACACAACAACCACACCCTGAGTTAACAATGTAGTGATGGGTTGTCAGACCACAGCTTACATCTCAGAAACAGTCCAGACCTGACCCAACATTAGGGGGGTCAAGTGTAAGGGTAACCCTCGCGGCTGCCCAAGGGTTACAAATCAACCAGGCTCCCCTCCACATGTCACACGGCCCCAACAAACATAAGAAACCACCTGCCGAATCTCCCAATATACACAACTACAGTACATCTCAGATAAGGCCCAGACCTAACCTCACATTAGCCAGTTAAAATGTAACCCTGGGCCAAGTCAAGGCCACAAATCAACCAGAGCCTCTCATGTCACACGGCCCCACTAACGATGTTAACAGGCAAGCATTCATCTGAAGATTTCTCCAGAATATACAACAGCTTATAGTCTCAGAAAAGTCCAGACCTGACTCTACATTAGCGAGGGCAAATGTGGAGACCCTTCGCCGCCACCACCGAGCAGCTCAACCTGGCGGCTGGTCTTCCAATATATAGGACGTCCTAGTCCGTCCTCCCTCACGAGTGTGTCTTGTAACCAAGAAGGGCCAGCTACTACGTGCCCAGTCGCTCGAGAAAGCCCGCCACTAAGTGTAACGAAGTCTCAGCCGGGTCCGTCGACAGAGTGCTGTCAACTCAACGTGTAACAGTAAGTGCTGGCTGTGTAGACGGTAGGAGTGCGGTGATCCGAACCTCCCCAGCAATCGACTTAGTGAAGTGCCCATTCTATTGTGAGGTTAGGTTTAGAATACCATAGTCTATCATAAATTGTGTACGAACCCCCCCTCATTAATCCCCTATTGAACTAGTAAAATAAAGCTGTAACACGCATTGGTGTTTTATACACTTGTACTGTGCCTGTGTTAATATACAGTGTTAACATCACACCCTCGAGACACGCTACCATTTCCTCTCGCTATAATACTCTACTACTATAAACTCCTAGCTTACCTCTTCATGTGAGATTTTGTCTCATTATAACAAGCTTCATGACCCAGTGTCAAGGAATAATCCGAGAAGACCCGACAACTCCACTGGCTAACCATTACCCCGGAATACAATCCGCAAATCGATTAACATCCAGGTTTCCAATTACTGCTGGGTAGACAGAGGCAAATGGCGTAAAGAAACTTGCCCATAGTTTCACCCTACCCGAGGATCGAACCCAGGTCCGCTCGCTTGCGAGGCGAGCATGCTGACCATTACGCCACAGGTCGCCTCGTATACAGTACATATGCACGTACACACACACGCACTCGTAACTACGGCTTAAACATGACATTAATCACTGACATTGCCGAGTGTTCACACAATAACAAAGGTTAAATAACGCGCCTGTCAGTACTGTACCTGGTGCAGGTATTATCACCCTGGCAGTAGCGACACTTGGGCAGGACAAGGAAGAAAGGTATCGTTAACACTCACCTGGGCAGGTGAGTATAGAGCGTGGTGTGTGGGGCGGCGTCTCCCCCACCAGGTAGGCTGACAACCTGTCCTGGGCGAGTCTGTCCTCCAGGGTCATGGCTGGCATCACCATGGGCGGCTGCCCTAACATTATAGGCGGCGAACCTAGTGCCAGTGGCGATCCAAGTGTCAAGGGTGGCGAGCCTAGAGCCAGTGGGGGCAGCTGGGCGCGCGTCACTGGAGGTAGCGGCCTGTACCTCATAGAGCCCCAGAGATCCATGAACCGTGACTGTCCTGCTACCCGCGGTGGGTGATGCTGAGGGCATGGGTGAACGTGGGGGATGATGGCGGTGCGCGGGGCGTGGTGGTGGAGGAAGGTCGTCGGGTGTGGCAGAGTGGCCCGCGGGGTGGTGGAGGCCTGCCACGGGCTGAGGTACCGACGTTCACTCTGTGCCCGACGGACCGTCACCTCTACCCGACGGCGGGCGGGCGGTGGTGTTGCTGACATGTTCATTGTTCACTTTCGGTCACTAACTTCATCATCAAAATATGTAAATTCTTTTCACCTTCATGCACCATTATCATCACTATCACCTGTTCATTCTTCACTTTCCTTCACCATCATCATAATTTAACAGTTTATTTTTCCACCTCTTATTAACTATCATTATCACTGTCAGTTTATTATTCACCTTCCTTCACCATCACCGGTTCACTATCACCTCCTTCACTAGCTTTTGTTATCACTCTCTCTTGACACAGCCAATAACTCACTGCTTTTCCTTCACTGTTCACTGTCCCACCTTATATTTGAATATTTACTTTGTATGTTCACTATTGACATGTGTATTCACCAGAGCTATGTCATACGTTCACTGTTCACAACTAGCTGTTCACTAGCCGAGTGTGTCGTCTGCTGAACCGAAAGATGAGGTTACTGCTTGTTCAAATGTTCAATTACTGTACTGCTTTAGGCCGACAGCTGAAACAACTATTATCTAATTAAAAACTTGTAGATGATAAACTGTTGATATTAAGTCCGTATCTTCAAAAAATATTATTAATAGTAGTAGAAGAAACAGTAGTAGTAGTTAATTGTAGTAGTAGAAACACTAGTAATAGTAGTAGGCCAAAACTCCCTTATTGTTCCCCAAACTATAGTCACACCCATTCACAGCTGGGTCGACAGGAACTGACAGTGAGGCGTCATCATGCTAACAGGAACTGACAGTGAGGCGTCATCATGCTAACAGGAACTGACAGTGAGGCGTCATCATGCTAACAAGAACTAACAGTGAGGCGTCATCATGCTCCAGGAACTAACAGTGAGGCGTCATCATGCTAACAGGAACTAACAGTGAGGCATCATCATGCTAACAAGAACTAACAGTGAGGCGTCATCATGCTAACAGGAACTAACAGTGAGGCGTCATCATGCTAACAAGAACTAACAGTGAGGCGTCATCATGCTAACAGGAACTAACAGTGAGGCGTCATCATGCTAACAGGAACTAACAGTGAGGCGTCATCATGCTAACAGTGAGGCGTCATCATGCTAACAGGAACTAACAGTGAGGCGTCATCATGCTAACAGGAACTAACAGTGAGGCGTCATCATGCTAACATGAACTTACAGTGAGGCGTCATCATGCTAACAGGAGCTAACAGTGAGGCGTCATCATGCTAACAGTGAGGCGCCATCATGCTAACAGTGAGGCGCCATCATGCTAACACTGAGGCGCCATCATGTATTACACAATAGAGTTCATAAACATTGCTAATAATACAAGAAATTCAGCATCATTAATACAGTAATTAAAATAAGCTTCAAAATAATGATTACTTTTCTTCTATTTTACACATTGGAAGTTAGTAAACGTCTTCAGTACTGATGACCATACCAACAGCACATTGTCACCGTCCATACATAGTCTCCTTACACCGCTTCTCAAGGTGTTATCGTCTGAAGTCACAGCACGTGGCCCCAGGTCTCAACACACTGCCGCTACACACCCTCACACCTCGGTAGTCGTCAGCTGACTGGTGTGGTACAGGTCAGGTGCACTGCCGGTGTACGACTTCACGTTACGGATGTTTACACCTGAACGGCGCCGGGCATTCCTGGCCAAACTGTCGTACAGTATCAAGGTCTCGGCGATAGGAAGTGGCCAATTGAAAGCTATTAAAGGCGTTGAGAATTTTATCCGTCGATAATCTAAAGACGATTTTAATGGCCTTGAAGCGAGACAAACAGAGGGACGGGGTATATTGCATTGTATAAGAAAAGAATTCTATGGACTTAAAGTTTTGTACCATGAACCTCGGCAACTTTAGTTAGTGTTAGTTTATAGAGATTTATATTAATACAGTATAATCATAATGCGTGTGTGTGTGCAAGTATACAAACAGGATAGTGAAAATGGGTCCCATAGGCATGACTACCCGTTAGCATACTGTACACTGAGCCTTCGGTTCAACAGGAGGCAACATGGCCGGTACTGCTCTCGACAAACAAAAGAAAACTGTAGAAGATTATTTATTTTTACGACACAGTCAAGGATGGTAGGGAAGTGGGATGTTTTGTTGGCAGATAAAGTGGAGATAATTTGAGAAACATTTAAATGAGATAATTTGAGAAACATTTAAATGATTCAATTTTTCAAGTGACAACCCGAGAGAGAGAGAGAGAGAGAGAGAGAGATACTGCAGGAGCTGAAAGAAACAGATATATACTGCAGGAGCCGAGAGAGACAAGGGAGACTTACCACACAATAGGTAAACTCCCTTACAATAGACAGGAAGCGCTGCCACAGTACAGTACCTACGAGCCAACACTAAATTGGTGGGTGAGAGAGAAGTCAAGGTTAGCTGCCGTGACCTGTACTGATGATACCCTGAACTGTTCTCTCCTGTGTACTGTTGGTTACTACTACTACGAACACTGCTACGTCTACCACTACTACTACCACAACTACCATCACAACTCCAACCACGACTACTATTACTTTTGTTACTACTACTTTATTACCTGTTACTACCACTACTGTACTTATTCCTACTACTATTACATCTCTCAGTAACCTACTATCCATACTACTATTACTTATACAACAACTAATACTCTAACAACTATTACTACTGTTATTATTACAAACACGGCAATAAACACTCATCAGGATAAGCTTATGGTATAGATATATTACTCAATCAATAAATGAGCAATAAAACAAGAGAAGAATGAGTTGATAATTAGCTAACCTGTTCTCCCCCCTCCCCCTCTCTCTCACATGATCATTTTCTTAAGTGATTTCCTTCCAACACTAAATTATTCATCGCTATATAGGTTACTTTCAAGTGAGGGGTCGTCCACACTCACGTTAAAGATCAATGTCGAAGTGTTTATTTTTCCATTGGTCAAGCGTGCCAGAGTAGTCCAGCGTCAATATATTTCCCTTTATTTTTTTCCACCTTCTTTTCCTCCTCCATATTCTTCTTCATCTCCTCTTCCATCATCATCATCTCTATCTCCATCTCCTCCTCCAGTTTCTCTTCCTCCATCTCCTCCACCTCCAGAAATAACCGTGTGCTCCCAACCATTAACCAAACAATTAACACTGGCTCTCTACTGGAAAAGGTCAGCGTTGCCAACCTTTTGTTCTCCTCAGACGTTTGACACACTGACAGATGACGTAACTCGGGTGACGGGTGACTTTCTTGGGGGGAGTGAAATATTCAACCTTTTTCTCGTGGGATTTTCGTCAGTTAATATTCTTCGATAATTTTAAAGGTAAAATATTAAATAATCACGGTTGTAATTCTTTTCATATTTTTTTATCAATACCTGTATTGATAAATTCACCTGATTATTTACAACCAACTTTTTTTTTTTAAATCTGTGGCAAGATATTTTCCGTCTATTATCTTAACTAACATTTAAGTTTTTTTGTTATTTGAAGGGTGTTTGATTTATTTGTTTTTCATGTTACGACGAAGCCACGAAGTGTGTGTGTGTGTGTTTATGTGTCAACCTCGTGTTTACAATAAGCTTCCTAAATCTGCCGCCAAGGACTCTCACCACCAACACACACGCTGCTCTCGGAGTCCCCTTGTGCGAGGTATTGACAGTCGCTATAGTGAACCTTGGAACCTTTCAAACTCCCTTACTGGAGTTAGTTTGGGTTACATTAAAGGTTAGGTTAGGTTGCAGCTGGATAATGTTAGGTTAGGTCTGATCTAACCTATTCTAATCCAGATTCAATAAGTTGATTCGGTCTCGGTTGGGTAAAGTAGTGTCAAGTTTCAATACGTTTAAGTATGCCTTGGTTAATTCTGTTAAGAGGTCGAGAGGTGGTGGGCGAGAAATGGTGGATGGATACCTTCACACATTACACCAGCTCTTCACCTTGCGGGACGCCGGGGAACCAAAAGTCAATATTGGGCTGGCTACAGAGTCGTCCACACCGAAGACGAATAGATGTTGGGAGATTACCTGACCTTGTGCCACCTGCCTGCCTCCACACCCCCCTTCCCTCCCCTACGTCCGTCTCCATCCCTGCTTTCCCCACACGCCCACGCCACTCTCCTCCTGCCTGCCCTCCCCACACGCTCACTTCTTCATTGTCATCTTGTTCTCGCCGATGGTCATGCAAGACTTCAACTGAAGCCGAATCTTAAACCCGAAACGCTACAGATGAGTGAACAATGTGGCTGGATGTGAACACGAGATTTTTTTTATATTTAGAACTCGTGAAAACCAACCGATATACACGTGGCTTTGATCCTGAAATAACATGGTGTACTACAGGTAACAACTTAGCGAAAACATAAGTGCGTTGCGGGAACACTTACATACTGTCTACAAAGATTAAATCATATGCTTAAACATACATGGTTAAATATGTACAAAAGCACACAACACGGCAATGCATTACATAATAAAACAGAACACAACAGACAACACAACACAACAAAACATAATACAACAGACAGACAATGGAGCTTTATTAGATAGCCTCGGCCAAGGTCTTACACTGGCCGGTTTCTCCCGATTCCACGCTACACCAGAATCTGTACCGTAAACATATAATAATCACATGAACAAGTCACACCTTTTATTTAACCTCAAGAATACGGTCGTGGTATTTCATTGCATGCATGCTGTCAGGCCTGTGGGACCCGCTTCTACTTTTCAACGCTTGTTCAACCTCAGTCACGTTGTTAGGTATCTATATACTGTACAGTATAGTAACGACTCTATGTTGGTGCATAACACGGATTGAAACCTGGTATATACGGTATACTTACGTGTGTATGTATGTATGTGTACGCATGTGTACGTAGTGTATGTACTGCATGTGTGTGTGTGTGTGTATAGAGGACACTTCGGACTACCTCGACTGGTGGTTAACACTCTTGACCATCACCCGAGCGACACACACGGTCATATTAAGTCACAGTACTGAGTATAATTTGTTGGGAGACTGACCAGTGGAGATTATGTTGCGGTGGTGACCATGTTCCTGTGGAGGGAGGGGGGAGCGAGCGAGTCGTGGGGAGCGAGCGAGTGGGGAGCGAGGGAGTCGGGGTGGGGGGAGGAGTCTGGGGTGGGGGAGTGAGGGAGCTGGGTGGGGGAGGAGGGAGTCGTGGGGTGGGGGAGCGAGGGAGTCGTGGGGTGGGGGAGGAGCTGGGGTGGGGGAGCGAGGAGTCGGGGTGGGGGAGGAGGGAGTCGGGGTGGGGGAGCGAGGGGAGGAGCGGGTGGGGGAGCGAGGGAGTCGGGGAGCCAGGAGTCGTGGGGTGGGGGAACGAGGGAGTCGGGGTGGGGGGAGCGAGGGAGTCGGGTGGGGGAGTGAGGAGTCGTGGGGAGGAGCGTGGGGTGGGGGGCAGGAGTCGTGGGGGGAGAGGGAGTCGTGGGGTGAGAGTCGTAGGGCTGGAGGGAGGGAGGGAGCGAGTCGCGGGGTGGAGGGAAGAAACTGACTAGACCAACACTTATCACTTGGTGGCCAGGAACCTGGGTACTGAGACGAGGACGTTATGGTCAACTGAGGTAAAATATAAACTTAAATATGGAGTAAAATTTATTAACATTAATAACATTTAAAACTACATTTACAAAGACATTTATTACTTGTCCTTCACTAAAATATTATGTTAAGACATTTATTGAGGTAGTCAGGAGCTTGGGGAAAGAGTGGGGTGCTGATGAGCTGACTATACTGACGATGCTGACAGTAACGGTGGTGGACAGAGGCAGCTACTTGGATGTACCCGCATTGACTCTTCGCCGCCACACCTGTCCTGAAAAAGAACAAGTTATGTATTAATGTAGCGCTCCTCACCTGGTGAGAACACGGCCAGGTGGAGTTTATTTGGATACACGTACAAACATTATGTACTTGAATATATGGACAGTAGACAGTGACCGTCAGTATGAGACATAAATGACGGTAAAATTAACCATCCACAATACCTTCATTTGTTGTACCGTACAGTTGCCTCCATTCCCGCCTTTAACAGTGAACCTTGTCTCCTGAGCAATGTGGCATCCAACCAAACGAAGGTAGTAAGGACAGTGAATCAAACTTTGATAATTTGTTCTAATCACATAACCATGGGGAGGGCGACGAGCACGCGATGGGTTTCAATGTTTAACAACACTCGCCTTTCATTTCATATTTATGTCAAGTGTCAGTAGGTGTATACCGTATATCTCCAACACTACAGGCGATAATTCAGATATTTACACTGGTTCACTCAAACTAATCATCACATGAGGTTTGCCGATTCAGTCTTACCGATACCCTTCGCTTGGCTGGGATATCACATTGCTCGGGAAGACCGGGTTCACTGTTAAGATGTGGGAGTTGAGGCACCTGTACCTAACCGATGTCTTCTGCAAAATTCACAAAACTAATTCCCGTGAACATATCCAGAACATGACAATCTTACTCAGCCTCGACGGTATCAGTATATTCAACGCGGCCTGTCTTCAACACCCTGGCATCTCTCCTCCCGGTTCGTGAGTGAGTGGCTGTCTGTCCTCCCTATCACTATAGCATTATAGGG